CCATGATTACTTCTTAAACTATTTCCGCCATGCTGAGTTGGAACCTTTTCCAGAGTAGACCAGGAGAGAGAATGGACTGCTTTTGGACATAAGTAGAAATTTGTTACTGTATAGTTAACTATGTGATGAAAAATTATAAATAATTAAACAGTAGAAAGGTATGTCATTAAAATAGTTGTGATTGTATCTACACTTGTATCTACAGAGTTTGGCAGAGTTTAATAAAAAGAGGGTGGATTTCAAACTTTCTGAATAATTTTATCTAGGACCAATTTATTTGGAGAAGTAGCAACTCACCTAGCTCATTGTGGGAAAAAGGAAAGATGGTGAACCTCAACAAATAGCTAATGCCGGAAGTAGGATTGCACTCTTAGGAGATTCGAGCCAACCGGAAGTTCTTTCATCGCATCTTGAAAGTTCATTGCGCAATACGGTAATGCTCAAACTCACTCAAAAAATTGATTGAAAGCCACAAAGCTGGTATGGTGGGTTTGTGTACCCTCTGAAGCGTTAAGCAGGGAGGGGGCATTCGGTTTGATACTGATCAGAGTGAGAAACCAACGCTCTGCGGCTTGAATTAGCTGCTTCGCTACCCGGCCTTTATTTTCTTGAGGTTCTTGAACAACCACTAAATTGCGCGTTAACCGATTATTGGCGGATAGAAAACAGAGGGATTTAAAACGATTATCCGTTTTTTGGAAATTTGTCGTATTCAACCCCACTCTGTGATATTGCTGCGATCTAAATACTACGCAGTCCGTTGTTTGTCTTGTCATGAAAGCTGCTTTGTGCTTCGTTACGTAATTAGTCGCGTTGTCGTGGTTTCCTGTTCAATGAATCTTTACGCAATATTTGTCGACCGTTGTAGTCATAGTCTTTGTTAAAGTTAAATTCATCGCTTCTTTCTAGAAAAACTTCCATAATTTGCCAGAGAGAACTTGGGTAGAAGAAAGAAAATCAATTTATAGATAAATTTTAAAGAAACATACGGTATGTAGGCAAGGACCTATTTGATCTAGAAAATCAGTCAGTAAATCGACTTGGAAAAACATACACATGAGTAATATGTGACTCTGTGATGTGTTCAGGTGTGTGTGTAGTTTAAGCATGATAATAAAGCATCAAGTTGTGCGGAGTTGGTGTTTTATAAACCCTCCGTTCAGAGA